TAGTAGCTTCTTCTTCGAAACATCAATTCATGATCATTGATGTTCAATGGCGAATTTTTAGCTTATCACGTGACTTATCCATTAATTTTACAGCCGCTTAGTTCCAGAACTTCAAAGCTGTTTTAAGTGCAATAAAACTAACCTTAAAACATAACAATGATAAACAAATTAGCGTAAGCTGATTTATGTAGCAAGCACATTGACGTAACTCTCTTTGCACAGAGATCACCATTCTAAAGGCCTTTTAACAAACAGATGGGGAGTATAATGTTAAACACGAGTCACGGTGAATCGCGGTTTCTTGCCTCCAGCGAAAATCTTATATATTCAAATAAGATGTCTGTTGTTGAATACAATTAGAATTTACATCTGGTAACACTGCCTTAAGAAGGTAAATGAATTCCCGTCACAGTAGCCCTAAGAAGTTTTAAACACTAAGATTTCGTTTTAAATGACGTTAAGAGCCGTAAAAATATCCCTTTTAAGAGCCCAGCAGTCTTTAGGGAAATCTATTGAAAGCAGGTTGTTAAAGAGATGTAACGTTTTTTTTATTTCTCTACTCTATTGTACATATATTACTGCACGGATGGCGTAGTGGTTTAAGCGGTCGCCAAGCCGCTTAATACAACGCCGAGTGTTGTGGGTTCAAACCCCACATGGGACGACACTTTGTGTGATCCACAAATTGTTGTTCTGAGTCTGGGTGTTCTTTGTGTCCGTTTCATGTATGTTTGTAAAGTCCCCCGCGACACAGGATATATTCCTAGTGCGGGTGTTGTCTTTTTTTAAGAACATATAGATACACTTGTATATCTTTAGAACTTAGTGAATTTAAATGTGATGTTTGTCAATGATACTGACGAACATAGTTCATATTATGAGACTAGTAAGTTATATAGGTAATTAGCATTTGCCCGCGTGTATATTGGTTTTCATGGTTAAAAGTGGCCTATGTTACCTGAAGGCAATTTTATGAATATTGTATTTATTTGAATAAGGATTAATATTGTGCTTTTAAAAACACCTTCGCCAATAATGCATTATTTTGCAACAAATTTGACTACCATAAAAAAGGTTATAGTGAGCTAACCTTAAAAAGATAGACTTATACTGTCGAGGACTTTATTTAGAACTTTTAAATGGAAACAATTATGTTGTACATGACTTTTTGCGAATCTTTAACCGTTTACGCAGCACATGCAACGGAAGTACTGAAAAGGAATATTTTTCCCCGTTTTTGCAACATTTCATTCATAGATACTCAGCTCCTATTGGTTATAGCGTGATAGTATATACTCGTAGCCTTCCTCGAAAATCAGACCGAAATGAGATTATCGCGTTCAATCAAAAAACAAACAAACAATTCTGCTTTGTGATATTAGTATAGATGAAACTGTATTAAAGATATGCCTAAGACTATGCTCCTTTGATGTACCTTCTCTACTATTAATTAATAAGGTTGAAGATTCAAACAGAAAATGCTAAATATTTCCTTAAACGGTATTGATATCTTTCAAATACAATACATGAAGATAATGGTTTCTTCAAAGTAGTATACTGTGGTTTCCAAACATTGAACTCGACTCGATGATACTACGAACCAAGTATTAAACAAACATGTGTTCATTTGTGGATCACGGCAATTGATGCGTGATCCTGTCAAAATACCATATTAATATTACTGTTGCTTGTATAATTAACTATACTTATCTTACACAAGTTATTAACTTAACATATACCAATAAAACGTCATAGATAAAAGTACATAAAATCGAATTTTGAAATTAAGTTGTACAAATGACAATAAATTAATCGTTATTTGCGATAACGCTATAAAAAGCTGTTTTGAATTTGGCATTCAGACGGTGACCACAACACTTACCAGTGCAACTGTAACTGGCCACTAACACGGGAATCTGAAACCACACTTCCATATCCCGTAATGAATGCAAGCGACCCGGCCCAAAATAATGAACACCGCAGGTTATACCTACTGGCCTTAATGGCTACGGCCTTTATACTTGGTATTATTTTACTTACAATGAAGCAAGTAACGCGGCTTTGAAAACGTATGAAAGAGATACTTTTTGTTTATGTATAATCTAATCGTTTTAATGGTTGTATTGTTAGAGTAAATTTTATACCACAAAACTTTTTGTTCTAAAAATTATCTTGAAGAACATCAACTTTGCAGGGAGTTACTATCTGTCGGAAAATAATTTCTTACGTACCAAAAGTAGTTTCTGGGATACGCACTAAATATGTCTTGTCTTCATTCTAGAATTGCTACGTTAATATTAAAATATTTAACCATCAATTAATTCCTCTAAACTTCCAACAATTGATGCCATTGGAATTCCTAACACATTCTTCTTAAGATCCATTAGATTACCTGAATTTGAGCCACCCCACCGCAGAACCTTCGATCCCCAAAATGCAACACTATACATTAAAACTAAAACAATTTCCTTAACGTTTAATATTACTTACGTTTCCTTAGGTTATAATTGTCAACAGACTAGGTAGTAAAGATAAATTAATAAATAAAAACAAACAACTATTAGATGTTTTCATAGTTCACCGTTTTAAGAGTTATAGTTTAATTTCACGTCTTACAGCTCTACAGAACTCATTTTTGCTCCTGTAGAGAAGGGTGGATTCTATAATTCTATAGAAACACACTATTGTTGCCGTCTTCTTATCAGGTGGACATTGTATTTGTTACATTTTAACCGTAAAATTAAAATGGATAAGTAAAGTACATTGCTCAAAAAAATACATAAAATATAGAAATTTTCCAACCATTATTTTGGTCAGAATCACGTCATAGGTACCAAATACAGGCAAAAAAGGGTATGTCACTGTGTGTAATTAAAGCAGCAATGCTATAATATCTGTCACTCGTACTGGCTCTAACTGAGACATCTAAATCCTCTGACCTATGTATATATCAATATTTAAGCATATAGACTATACTTAGTCTATATGTCTACTTTTTATCTTCGACTATACTACTATTCTACTTATATTCACACTCACATAATGAACACAAATGTTACACAGTACATAAATGTTAACACAACATTATCTACTACCTAACCAAGGACTTTATGGGAACATTAACAAATCGGCACCGATAGCACAACACTAAAACTAATCCCACCTAAGCCACAACACATGCAAGAGTACCTGACCGCAACGGGCTTTGTTTAGTACTAGTGAATTTGAATCCGTAAAGAAAATCGACGTTTGAAACCACAGTGCTTAACCACACACTAGGCAGGCTCTAACGTAATACTTTTAAGCTTAGTAAATACCTTTTATTTGCAATGTTGTTACATTATCAGTAGCAACATTGAGCAATGTTCAAGATTAATTATTTTTAAAGTAAATCCTTCTAACTAAAAAAAACTGCTTGAATAATACTGATTTAATTAGATCCTAAGTTTTATAACATTAGTCACATCGGGTGGTCTTAGTAACATTCATGGAAAAACAAAAAAAATGTGTTTTTTGAAGTTTATTTCTCCTTCCTATTTTTCATATAAATTTATCATTTTAATTGTTTTGTTTTGTGTGTTTACTCGCATATGCGCAGTACTTTACAATTAATCTCACTCATCATTTTCTGCCTCGGTGGTGCAGTGGTATCGTATGCAACTGCTGTGCTGAGCTCTCGGGTTCGATTCCCGGGTCGGACCAAGTGTTTGAATGATCTGCAAATATTTGTTTCGAGTTTAGGTGTTTTCTATGTTTAATATGTATGTATTTACAAAAAAAAGTATTGAATTATTATATCAGTCAATCTAGCTTTCATAGAAAAGACTCCGCTAAGTTTGAAACTAAGCAGAGCGTTGTGTGGCAGATATCCGAAAATATTATTATCATTTATATTTGCTTATTGTATACCTTTTTGTTGTTGCATAAGGTAGACATACTTAATCTCCTTAAACGTCATGTATTTTCTATTTACATCCAAAATGTAAATGTTTTGAGGATCCATTTTACAGTCGCTTTAATTAGAATAGAAATAATGAGAAGTGTTGTAGATTCTATGTCATCAAATTAAATCCGAGGCCCGAAATTTATCAAGGGACTGGTGGACCAATTGATATCTAACTGAAAATGTAATGAAGAATTCTCTTTGGTATTGCTTTAATTTGGCAAAAGTAATCATTTGAACAAATATTTGTTTTTAATTACGAAAATATAATTTAACAAAGGTTTACTCTTTGAAATATTGAATAACAGATAGATTCCTAATTCTAAAAGGAAATAATAGTATGCATCTACTTCTACATGTTTTTATACTTAATAATAATAAAAGAAAGAGATAGAAACGTCAGAATTGTGTAGAAGTACAAGATTACTTCTATAAATCGTTATTTTATGGGTTTGTATGACGCTACTCAAAAATTTCATAGTTGAAAACCTTTTATTTTATAATTTTTATTTGAGTAACTTATTTGATTTCTACCTGAAAGAAAGAAAAGCGGAATGTGACTCACTCACTCGTATAACTCCAATATCCAACTGCTGCCTTTGTGCACTTTAACATAATTTGATAAACATCACATAATACATATATGTGTTACAAACTATCATCAATTTTAAAGTGTATATTTATCAGTTTCTTAGCTTCTTTTTCTGAAGCTAGCCAGCACGTCAGCCAAAAAAAATCTTGGTAACGGTATTTAGTTATGTTATAAGCACCATGGTGAGAAAGGAAATGCTGTGATGCGTCTTTGTTCTCTCTCTTGACTAAAGGGAAACGGGAAAGAAGGACAACGAAGAATATCGAAACATGCGTTTAAGAAATTTGTTATTTACGGCATACGACATTACTATTAACTTTAGATATTAGTAATGATTATGATAGTAACTTTAACTTTAGATTATTTTTACTTACTTGTTGTACAATGATTTTTTTAACTATTGTGTGCACGTGGTTTGAAAGGATATCAATGTTGGTGATCCTTTTGAACTGCATAACCTTAGGCATGTACCAGCCGTGCGTCGATGACCAATGTGTTACAAACAGATGCAAAATATTACAGGTAAGTTTTAGTATAATTATACATAAAAGATTGCATATCAAATAAATACATTGACTGATTTTGCTGTAATTTTGACTATAAAATCCGCCTTTTTCATTAATCGTCATTTTAATATTCTTTATTTTTAATGTTATTAATTTTTTTAAATACCCACTAAAACATATGTATCAAAGGAATCAGATAGAAACCAAAATCGTAAAATACGGACATTATACAGAACTACATAGGACATGGTAAAAATGAGCAGCTGAAAGATTTACTTTTTCCTTACATATTTTTACATTGCATCATTTAAGTTCTAATATTGCAAAAAATCTATTTCTAGCAAACTAGGTACATAACGTTAATTTGACAAGGAAACGACTAACGATTTTTGTAACATGTAACAAATCAAACAACAATTGCGCAGAATGTATTTTAATTTGTATGTTAAAACTTCAATGTTGCAAACCAATTCATAAATGAAAATACCAAGATGAGAAAACGAAAAACAAACAAAAGATTCATAGATCAGCCGAAAACAATAGAAAAAGCTAAAGAAAAAATCTGGAATGAATTCTGTCTTGACGCATGCACTCGGCAAAATTAAAAAAGAACACCAGTTAAAAAGAAAAAATGTGACTTCCTAGATTGATTTTCTTTTGTTTTATTATTTGATTTTATTTTTTGAGTAAAAAGAACTTTATTTGTTAGTTTAATATGTGCCTTGATATTTGTTGTGTTCATAAATTGTGTTTCAAATTAAAATATTTTACAGGTTTTCGATGACATAATATTTGCATTCTTCACTTTGGAAATGTCAATCAAAATGGTGGCGATGGGCATTTATGGACACGGAACCTATTTAGCTGATTCGTGGAACAGATTAGATTTTTTCATAGTAATGGCTGGGTAAGGACACTATTGTTTTTATTAATAGTAACAATAATATAGTTGTAATACAAAAGATTCTGAATAAATTAGACTAAACTACTCGTATTTCAATTTTTATGTGCTTAAAAAAGATGGCGCATGCTTTTAATCTCGTGCTACTTATTCTTTACTTTAGTGGTTTGGAACTGGTTATATAAGATAAAATAATAACCTCACCGACAGAATCTTCAGTATGATTTATGTAAAATATTTTCTTTAAGCAAAAATATTTTCTACTGACAATAATAATTTTGTAAATAGACGCATATGTATAAATCGTCATAGTCATTATCAGTCATCACATTCTTATGTGTATTCGTGCATATACGACGATTACAGAAAAACGCAAAACTTAAGTAAACACAAAATTTACCCAGGCACGAGAAAGAAATTGTTTCAATGTAATAAAAAATTCAACATTGTTACAGAGCACTCGAATACGCACTCAACGTGGAAAATATTAACTTATCGGCGATCAGGACAATCAGAGTACTGAGGCCATTACGGGCTATCAACAGAATACCAAGTGAGTATTTATTATAGGGAGTTCAAACATTAAAGTCGGACTGTATTATCAAAATATCCGATCTAGCACAAAACATGTCATTTGGAAGGAAACCACATGCATACATTTCGAATGACAGCTGTTTGATCACGCGATGTTTAGAATTTGGTGTTTACTGCTGCGCGGGTTATGATTTTGCAATAAAATTCACGTGAGAAATAGAAATAATTTCGCTTAAAATAATACCTGGCCAAGTTCAAGATGTCTATGTTCACCAATTCGGAGAAAAACAACATTAATTTAGGCTCATCATTTTGTGGTTTTCACAACAACGCTATTCGTATGTTTCATTTATAGGTCATCGTTTATAATATGCATTTTATTAAATTATGGCGGTTAAACAATACATGTTGTTTGATTTTTGCTCTAGTTGCATGCTCCTGAGCAGTGAAAGCCATTATGACGTGATTATTGAAAGTTAATAACGTTACCTAGTTTTTTGCGTGTCATTAGTGCCATAACTTACCATCAGGAGGGTCGTATCTTTTTGCTCACTTCCCTAGGAAATAAAACTACTAATAAAATATCCAATAAACTGAGTACATTTACCATAAAGTTTCACCATCCTAGGCTCTTTACGAAATATTTTTTATTAATTATTTGTTGCTAGTAATGGAACTAAGAACATTTGATATTTTCCACTACTATTTACTAATAGAATTTTAAATAAAAATTACATTTTAAAAACGAATTACAGTGATTTTACCCAGCTATTAACGAGTGCTTTCTTGAAGTAAACCTCAGTGCTAAAGTGAGAAGAGCTCTTAATACGAGGACCCTTTTACTTTAGGTGACCTCCGCCGCACTACCGGCTTTGTTACTTGTACCTACATAATTTATTACATGTTTATTTATAAGACCGCCAGTCCTTTGAAAGCTATGAGAGCAAGTTTACTTAGGTGCCAAACTAAATAACTTTGTTAACGGGTTTTTTAAAGATCTAAAACAGTCTAGGAATTGTATGCCTTGGTAAGAAGGTGTTGGAGCAATAAATGTTTTTGCATACTTAGGTAGCTTTGAAAGTTATACTTGAAGCACAGCTTTATTCAAAGTTTAAACTCAAAGCTATTGTTGGTGATTTTTTAATTAAAATAGCAGAGATAGGCGCCTTTAAAAATATGTGTGAAGATATTTCTTTTACTTTCTTACTTACTTACTCTACTTTCGTATCATCAACAGCCTTTACTAGTCCACTGCTGGACATAGGCCTCTCCTAACAAAGGAGGTTATAAACGAATATAACTTTATTAACGTGGTCTATTTTATTTTCGACATTTAAGTCCTCTTCTGGTCACAATACATACATTGGATCAATTAAGTACAAGGGCTACTATTAATGTATCCGGAACTGGCCAGTTACAGAACAATATTAAAAAAGTAATTAAAACATTTAAAAATTGAACTCTTTGGCCGAGGAATACAATTTGTTTCATGTAGCTGTCATTTGTTAATCCTTTACGGCGTCATTTTAAAAATTGCGTGTCTTTATCACTATGGATTTAACTTGTAAAAATTTTCGTGCTATGATTTATTACGATTTTACTAACTCAAAAACAGCGCATCGATCAACTCCCTTCAAATTTTGGGGATGAAGCACCATCAAAAACAACTGTGTATCACTGGTTTAGTAAGTTTAATCGAGGGCGGTCTGTGCTCACGAACGAATTTAAAGAAGGTTGCCCTAAATCGATTGTTGGGCCTCAAAATATTGATGGGCACCAATAATGCAAGATATTTTTGTTACATATCGCGACATAGAAGCGTCTCTGGGAATAAGTATGACGAGTATATATAAAATATTACACGAACATTTAGCTGTAAAAAAATTTGTTCACGTTGGACTCCGCACAACGTGAGAATTGGTGTAAAAAATTATTACAAAAGTACAATCAGGGTGCGTCAAAAGCTGTCTATAATATCTACACAGGTGATGAATCATGGATGTATGTGTATGATCCTGAAACTAGTCAACAATCAACGGTTTGGGTGTTCCAAGATGACCCATTTGTCATTCGTTCAAAGAGCACTTTGATGTTTTGGTATAATTAATATAATTCTGAATGGTACACGACCATTTGTTTGCCAGAAGTCTTTGAATATATATAAATAAAAAATAGTAACCGACAACGCAAAATCCTTGTTCATCATGACTACATGCCACACTGCCTGCACACTCAGTATTTGGAAGATCAAAAGAAGAAGAAGAATTAACCGGTCATCCTCCGTACGGCCCTTACTTGGCCCTTAACGGCTTCTTTTTATTCCCAACCGTGATGACATTATTTTTGTAATGAAGAAGCTGCTGATGCGTTCAAAATGCAAGTTTTAGAGATACCACAATCAGAATGGAAAAAGTGTTACGAAAATCGCTTCCAACGTATGCAAAAGTGCATCGATCATCACGGCGAATATTTAGAAAAACAATAACTTTCATATTCCGGATCCATATGATGTGGAACAGATGGTAACTACCAGGGTACCGATTATCTATTAAAAGTCTATATTTAATATTCATTTCTCTACTGTGTCTAAAAATCTTCTGATATTTGCCAAATTTAAATTTTATGTAACTTTTAATTAATACAAATGTAACCGATTTTTAAAACCGAACTTTTTTGTACTTATCTTTTATGTAATAATAAATGATAGGTGCCTGTTTAGAAAAAATATAATCTGTAAACGCTTTATAAAATAATAACTATACTATATCTGGGTCGTACTGACGTGTGTACATCTTTGTGGGTACCCTATTGAAGTGAAGTCGAGTCAAGTCAGAATCAAGAGCGACCGTGGGCGGACAGCGATCGATATGAGCAACAAGTGAACCTCTGCTAATAATTATCTCACAGATTTATTGCAATTGTGAATTTAAGGATTCTAGATTTTATGGATATTTGTTAAAGAGAGAAATTTGTACAATTGATTGTTTTGATATTGTAGAAAGGAACTTTGAAATGGTGTCTATTTTAAACGAAAAAGATATTATTATTTTTGTTAAAATCTACTTTAAAATGCATCCACTTGTCATTTAAATAGTATCTTATTACTTTCCATGAAAGTATATAACTGTTATGCAGCTTTGATATTTAAAATTTTGTATGTACGTAGGTAAAATGACATTCGGAACAAAAGAGCGCTAACAATAGACTCATCATTTACCCGGCACCAAAGAAAGCAACACATCTATTTTGATTGAACTGAAGCTCCACAGTTCGCTAAACTGACGAATAGTAGATAGAACTTTCATTCTAGATTTCTAGTTGTTTTTTGTTTAGTTCAAAAGAACATCGTAAAATGAACCTTATAAACTACTTACCTCTATGTATAGCCTTAAAATCATTTTATAAAGTAATCATGCGTTAAGTAGTCCTATAAGGCATTATTTTATTTAATGCCCAGTTCTTTATTGATATAATAACTAAAAATTCTAAAAACACCCTCGTCAAACTTACATTGACAATCTTAACTGCCCCTTAGAATCTAAGGGATTAAACACAACCATAATTGCACTAATCAATTTCTATATTCCTTATACTAGATATGAACTTTAAGTTGGTCAATTCCAATATAAAAATCGATCAGTTTCTAGTTCTAAATTGAATCTTAATATCCAGAAGCATGTCTATATCAGTTTCTTGTGATTGAATGCAATTATACTTCTTCTCATATTAGTTTGTAGATATTCAGATGGCTCTTAGATTTCGTTGAAAGTAAGAGAACAAAGCCCTGTACAGTAATATACTGAGGAAAAAGAAAACAATTCATAAATAATATATTATGTAAAAGCCTACGTTCTGTGTAAATATAATATTTACCTACCACTATTGTTGCTCAACTAAAGACGGGGTGACCCTAAGTATCTAGAGACATTAATCGTCTTTTAATTATCGCAGACACGTTTACATGGCGGAAATTTGCTCTGCAAGGGTCTCTCCCTAATGTACCTACTACACAACCGGGTCTACCTTCCCTATCATAACATCTACCTCACTGTTGATTTTATCTCAATGAGGTGAGGAGACGTATAAGTACTACAAGCTTATGTAACAAGAGCTGAGGTATCGAGATCTACTTTACTGTACAAATTAGTAGGTACTATACTTGTAATAACGGTACTTTAACGGACGTTTTCTGCTTACATATAAGGCGTTTACTCCGTTACTTTAAATATTTTTCCATTTATTTATTTTAAAGCTCTATAGTACAACGATAATATTTGTAAAGACTAATTAATCCTTAATTTCAAAATTACTACAAAAATCAAAAGCACTGAGAAAAAACATCAAAATTTATTAATAAAGCACTACAAGAACGAATCGTAAACGGTGACTCCTAAACGGTTCGTATTGAACATTTAAACAAAAGACGGGCTCTAGTTAAAGTTTCGCACAAACCCCCATCTGGGGCTCACAAACAACTGGGACAATGCAACTCTACCGCAAATTAAATCGAGCCACGCACGCCCGCGGTTACATAGACATCGACACTAATTTGCCGTTGTACACTTTATTCCCTCACGTGGCTGTGATTTCTTTAAATTAAATATGATGATATTTAAAAACAATTTTATGTTATATGCAATTTAGTTGAAAATAACTATGCTTTCCAATCCGGGCACTATTTAATCCTCTTTCGAATAGAACCGCCTATCCGGGAAACGAATTAATTGAAATCCATCTGCTCTTTCATGCGAAACTGCACTTCAGCAATAAATGAATTCACAAAGCGTAGCAAATGTTAACAGGTCTATGTCAGTTTTTTAAATAATTATAAACCTACCTGTATAGCTAGCCTTCATTTTATGTATTTTAATTTTTGTTTTAAGATATGCGGAACGTTATTGAAGCACAAATTCTGATTTTTTAGAAGCGATTAGACCCATCTCTAAGCTAAAAAGCAACAAATGCTGCTGTCAAGTATTTACAAACGGTATTTTCCGCACTAAAGCTTAAGTTCAAGTGCTGCCAGTTGAACTTAAGATTTAGTGCGGAAAATACAAGCAGAAATGCTATCAAGCCACGAAACCCGAGAGCTCCATTTCTAATAACCCCATCTAATTAAAAGAAAGCAAACCCTCTTATTTTACAAGAAGCACGTATAAGACGAGCAAGCTGCCTTTTTTTACTCAGTTATCCGTTGACGAGAATTTTTACTTCTGAGGTTCCTGTTAAGGTTAACCCGTCAAACCCGCCAATCTTTTAAACTGTAACATCTATTATTTAAGAGACACGCAGCCAAACAGAGTGGCCCAAAATTAATGCTAGTCCTCTTTTTGAGCCACTCTATTTCTTTGCCACGATAGAACATTATCTAGAACTAACACCGTCACTTATCAGAGGTCAAACAAAATATGCAAGATTTTTGTCTAAATGATGTATTCCTGTGCTTTAAATTCTAAACATATTGTTAGATATATTTATAGAGATATTGTAACATTGTTGTTCTAGGAACATGTTTAATACAGGTCAGGATAGTAAGAATTTTTCAAACGTTACACATTTTTGTTTTTTTTCATGTTCTATGAATTGCCTCACCAACAGTTGTTTACTCTTAAATACAGTAACAGTATACATCTATTTAGGTATAACAGTTTAGTGTAACAATTACCAACAGGCAAGCACCACATCAAATACGAAAGCAACCATTTTTTGTAACATGAAATGACAAATTGTTATATATAAACTAAATACAATTTTCTGCCTACCAAACAGTATGTATTGTGAAATAATCACCATAGTATTCCGTCTTGTTGTTGTTCATAGAATCTGTATAGATATATGAAAGTAAATATCCATGCTATGAAACCAGAATGTGGATGAATTTTATTAATCATGTTTCCTTTCACAGGTATGCGTATTTTGGTGATGCTGTTACTGGACACACTACCCATGCTAGGAAATGTTTTGCTGCTATGTTTCTTTGTCTTCTTTATATTCGGCATTGTGGGCGTACAGCTTTGGGAAGGAATTCTCAGACAACGCTGCGAGTTCAACCTACCGCCGAATGTAATGCGACCCCACAAGTATGTCACCTTTAAATTGTTTACCTTTAAGTTAGCAATGCAATATGGGAGCACTCTAACAACCCCAGAATTAGTACGATCTTTGATTTTATAGACGTCCCAGTACTCGATACTAAGTCACGTCACTAATAAATTATGGAAAAGATAATAACGTAGTACTTAAATGGCAAAGTTTGAAAATTTTGTGTTTGAAATTGCAGCTGAAATAACTTTTTCATTTATTCCCTTTGCTCGAGAGCGCTCGTCTTAGCGGCACGCCCCATTGCTAACGTTGACTGCATGCAATATTTAATGCTTACATCCTCAACGAGCATATCCATCGCTGCTCTATATATATCATTTTTGACATTTTGTATTTTGCCATTGCATATTCTTTTTGCACTGTTACTTGTTACTAATATTTTGACAATCGCGCATGTTAAAGGTTCAACTTCAGTCAAACCTACAACACACTTAAATATTGCATCCCGTCAATACTCACATAATAAATTGTAATATAACTAAAAACATACACATAACGAACTATTGAAGAATGTAGCAATAACTACACAATAATATAAACACCTGTACCCATTTCACAAGTACTCCATTCATGCTGTGTTTAACGTAATACGTAGCTACTGATACATTCAAGAGTTAAACATCAAAAACCAAACATAGTACAAAGTAGAGAATAACAATCATAGCAAATATATACTATTAACATTCATTCATAGCCTAATACAATCCAGAATATTTAGATTTAGTACAAATAGTTTTGACCAAGATCCTAGTTGATAATTGTGGTTTCATATGAGAGTTTATGAGGAAGCTATTCATGCATGACTCGTGTATGAGATCACATAATAGATCATTAACACCTAAATAATCTTTAGAAGTAAATCTAGGTATAATTCTCGTCACGACATCCTCATCTTATGTTCCAGAGACCTGTCTGATTGGTACAGAGTGCGCGTCAGAGTGAACTCGTAAGGATTTGCGATCAAAATTAATGTGTTTCTATTACGAACATTACAAACTGTTGTAACGTGTACCTTCACACATCTGCCGTCCAGATGTGCTATCGTATATGCTTTCCCCTTCACAAATTGGCAGTTTGTATGAGACAATAGGTCTCTCATTAGTTGTGATATTTTATTTGCAAACTTCTGATAACTGCCAATTTGTTTTTAATTAAAATATAAAGATCTTTAGGTAGCTCTACAGTCTTCTCTGAAAATTAAATTCTACTTCTTCTTCATTACACTCTAAATTTTATGACAATTTTCACGCTACAGATAAGCATATTTTATCAGAGGCTTATAATAAAAATTAATGTAAACAATTGTTCTCAATTTTTAGGTTAACTATTTTTTAACAAACAGATACTTAATACACATCAGTTTTACATATTTCAATCATTCAATAACAGATCTTAACATTAGTTTACCGCTAAATAAGGCTTCATAACTGTTTTGTCCGTTAACATGCATTTATGTAAATTTTAAATTTATTATTTTTACTATGTTCAAAATAACATATCAACTGTTATCTAAAGTACAAATCTAACAGATAAAACTTTAGTATTAAAAGCTTTGCACGGAGCTTCGAGTCCAATGAATCCAAGTTCACCCAATCTTAAATAGTTTTTTACCAAATAAATAGCTTTGCTAAATTCCCTAAGAAAACAAGCGCCATTACAACAAGATGTTCATTTTATATGGGTTACTACTAGCGTTCGTGTACCTTCTGTTGTTAAACGATAACAACCCGCACGCTTTCCTTACGTTCCTGACGTTAATCTGTTCCAGCGCAACTCGTCAGGTTTTCCCTTTTGCCATTTTGTTAGCGCTGCCATTACCATTAATTGAAATAACCAACGACCCTCGATATCTTTCTATGCTTCAGTTTTAGCATGTATTTGCATGTAATTTGTAGTATAAATGTGTGTCTAAACATTGAACATACTTGCATGAACTTTATAGCAGAAGCTAACTATATTTGTAACCCCAAGCGCTGTCTGAAAGCTTTATTGCAACCTTAGAGGTGCCGGTATTTCAAAAAAGTAATTTTGATATTTCAAATGAGTATTAACATTCGCACTTGTTTAACATAATTCAAAAACTATTCCAATTTTTATATTATGGTAACATTTTATAAAGGGGAAAAATATGTAGATAAAATCTGATGTCAATAGACTTCATTTTAATTTTTAGATTTAACATCTCATCAGCAAACTTCACAAAACTAATATTTTTATTTACTGCGAACGAGCTGAATGAAACAAAAGACAGTTCCTTTTTGTAATATTATTGTATTGTGTTTCAGTATATCATTTTACTATGAGTTCTCCAAAGAGCTGGATTATATTTGTACAACGCCTGAGGACAACGGCATGCACACTTGTGGCAATTTCCCTCCCTACCGGTATGGAGCTCTGGTTTGCAACGAGACTGCTAAACCCTTCTCGTACAACTACCCAACAAATACATCTTGTGTCGACTGGAATCAGTATTACACCAACTGCACTCAGAGAGGAAACAATCCCTTTCAAGGAACGATCTCATTCGACAATATTGGGCTAGCTTGGGTTGCCATCTTCTTGGTAATATATTCTATACTATTGTATATGATGTGTCTACTATTGTTTATAGTTGATTTAGTACTGACTAAAACCTTTGCTTTGTTTGTAGGTAATATCATTAGAAGGTTGGACAGATATAATGTATTATGTACAGGATGCCCATAGCTTCTGGGATTGGATTTATTTCGTTTTACTGATAGTGGTAAGTACAAGACTAACAGATAAGTAATTGATAGCTACACTTGACTACTCGGTCAACATAATGTATTAGAGAGCAAATTATTCATTAGCAGCAGCTGTTCCGCAGCTTTAGCAGCAGCAATTGAATATGATGAATAAAATTTTACAAATTAGTCTTGTTTTGCCTAAAGAGTCTAATTAATGACATACACTTGTTAGACACATAGTACCAGCAGATAAGCAAAAACAAAGTATATAACCCTATAAATCTTACAGCTACATACGCATATGTTTTTACAGATCGGCTCATTTTTTATGATCAACCTGTGCTTAGTCGTCATTGCGACGCAATTCAGTGAGACGAAAAAACGTGAAATGGAACGAATGCGGGCTGAACGTGCTCGATTCACGTCGACATCAACCCTCGCATCTTCAACCAATAACAGCGAACCTGCCACATGCTACGCTGAAATTGTCAAATACGTAGCCCACTTATGGAGAAGATTTAAGAGACGAATGGCAAAAAAAATCAGGTCAAATTACCTCTATTTATAAACACCGTATATAAAGCCGGAGTGCGAACACACCCCCTTCTTATCCATTGTGATCGTTAATCTTTCATATTGCCTTATTTGCAATCTATACATGATATCGTTATTTGGCTCGGTGATTTCGGGGAATTACTCACTGTCTTTTGTTCCTTTCCATTTAGAGAGATCTATAATATTTATACTAATGACTCGTATTTCCATTGCTAATGCTTATAGTGACTTGCCTGCAAATGACTGGCATATGTAATGCTACTATTTATTTTTTATTTTTTCCTAGAACCGTAATATCAATGTTTACTTCGTGATACATTTGACCTTCCAAGAAAGGTTATTATATGGGAGTACAAGTTAAGCTTTTAAGAATAATATGCGTCTTTGCAAGCCAAGGACACGCTTAATGTAATTTGACATAACCTACTAAGAACATGAAATGATTCTATTACTGTCGTTTCTTTATTTGACACTACTTTGTGTACACATTCTTATAAAGAAAGTTAAGTAAAGTATATTATCAACACAGGGTGTATCGATACCAACGTGCTCAAATGCAATGGCGAACCAGCAGAGAAACTCTACAGCTACCCGCCAATAAGCCCAAACAACACCATTCGTGTTGTCCACGAGTACACCCACAGGTAAAATCTTTTGACACTGTTACTCATTCCTCCCCATATCAACCGGTAATATCCGCCATACTGCTGTGAAAAGCCTCCCTATGTATTCCGTGTCTGTGCCTAAATAATAATTATTTTATTCATAAATGTACTTAATTGATATGGATACTACGAGTACTTAAGAAAGTAAGTAAGTAAACCTTTATTGTATTAAATAGGTACAAGGTTATACATATATCCAATATGACATAATCTACATTTAGACGCATAGTCGTCAGGGTTAACCCCTCCCATCCCCATGCTAGTAAAACTGTGTTGCAGTTAGGTAAAGGATAATCCCAAAGGGCTCATATTTACTTCATTAATGAGCACAGACTAGAACTTTTTGTCAATTAAAGAAAATAATTTATTTTACCTTTTTCAGTGTCGTAAGACCGAATTATGTCCTGTCCTTCCCTTGCAACAAACACCAATTGTTTATATACCTTCTAAACATCTTCTCTATACTATAAATCAAAGTTCATTATTATCTTAAAACATGACTTTGAACATTCGCATCAACTGGTTATAACGAATTTTAAATACACTTCACCCAAGTTTTCCGTTCGTCTCAGTTATTCTTTAGAAGGCAGAGTTATAATAAAATATTCCTCAATTACTTTACAAAGATTCTCAGCGTTGAGGCCGTGTATTGTGTTGTAGGTACCATTGTACCATTACGAGGCATTCCTTTATAATTTCATGCGAAATGTGTTAACTAAATTGCAAGTTAACATAGGTACCACAAGCATATATATACATACAACATTTAAACAATAAATTATTCCTCTAATATGAGCCACGTAAATTACTACTGAATGTATCGTTTATTGAATAAGGTAGTCAGCGTCGTATTAATTATTAACCTTATTGTGCCTATATTCATTAATATACTCTGCATATGTATGTACGAGTATAACTAGCTTTTGCCCACGGCTTCGGGATTTGGCCAGAATAAATAGTAGCCTCTGTGCTATTCTAGACTATAATCTATCTATGTGCTGAATCCCGTCCAGATCCAAAAAGCCGTTTTCGCGTGATTATGTAACAAGCATACTTAAGTTTTGAAAAGTTTTAAAAAAAAGGTGTCTAATTATTATTATTGTGATAGATAATATAATTATACAGAGAGTATGAAATTAATGATAGCTTATGTTATGAATCGATAACTTTAAAAAAAACATACAAACTTGCACCCGTTTTAAGGGTAATTTTGAAAAATTAATATAATACTTTATTACTTTAAATAAAGAGTATTAACGAAGTTTCACATGAATTTCCAACCTCCATTTTGCACCCTAAGAGGTGGAATTTTTAAATCCTTTCTTTGTGCACACCTACGTTACCTACGGAACATTTGTGCAAAATTTCATGTTTGTAGACTCAGCGGATTCAGCTGTTCGTTGATCGATCTGTCAGTGAATCAGTCTGTCATTTTGTTCTTTTATATCTATACAAATAAATAAAATTGGAGTGTTTGTTTGTAATATTAAAATAGCCGCTTTTTACTAAATTCATATGTATGTTTACACGGTACATATGCCAAAATAACATTTTTTACAATATTTATCTGTCTGTCTGTCTGTTTGTTCCGGGTAATCTCTGGAACGGCTGTACCGATTTCGACGGGACTTTTACTGGCAGATAGCTGATGACATAAGGAGTAACTTAGGCTACTTTTTTTAGACTAGCTTCGCCCCGCGGCGTTGCCCGCGTTTATAACAACAAACGCGGTAACACCGCGGGTCTCAGCTAGTATTTATATATATATATATATATTTATAGATCAGTTAGATTCTTAGATTTAAAATAAATTATTTCGCCTGTATCTTTAAATGTAACATCTTAAGTAGAGCCTGAATTGCCCTTCATTAACAATTTAATATTTTTATAGATTTGATGTCAACATTAAATATAAACGATTTGACAATAGCTAGGTCAGCATGAAATAGTATGTCATGCAAAAATGTAATGCGTCTAGCGTTTTGACGATTGAAAAATAATAATAATAATATAGACTAAGCACTCCGTAACTTATCTCAATAAAAATAATCATCATTCGTAAATGAGATTTCTTTGTTTGCTAAATATAAAAAATCTTGGTATTTATGAGACCTGTAAAGTATTAAACTTAAAAAAAAATCATAAATAGTACATTCTTCCATTTTCAAGTTTTAATATCACTATGTAGTCATGTAGACAAATTAATTAATTGTGTTCAACAATATTTTTTTTTTAAATCAATTTAAATGACAAGTACAAAAGTATAAATTCATATCAGTCACTACAATACATTTTAGTGTCAATGTAACTGATAATAAATGACTAAAAATCAGACTAAAATTTAGGGCAACGGTGGGAAAACGTTGGCTGAAGAAGGAAGTGCAGGGTGTGACGAACCGCTAAGCCGACCCAGCCTGTTGCGCGTACCTTCGCTATCCGCAGCTGATCTTGAGGTATAAAATACATTATATTCCTGTATTGCAGAGATATAATATGCCATTGTCGACTACTTTTCATTTACAACAAGCGAGCTTGAGAGAATACCATAATGTCTCTTTTATGTTTTGGAACGATTTAATCCATGTTACCTTGTTACTGTGAATTCTCAAAAAAAATAATAGTTAAGATACATTCAAACGACATTGAAAAGTATAATTATAAATATTGCCTAAGCACAATCATACATATTATAAAAAGTGTAGCATATGGTAAAAATCTATTTGTTCTTAGAATGCGTCAAATTTATCATTGCTGTCGCCACCTTCATTAGCGCGTCGAAGATCATCTGTGATGTTCAGCGACACAGTGTTACTCCATACACCAAATGCACCGGCCGGAGCTCACCCACACAATGTTTGTTCGTCTGAGAAAATGACACAGACAGGTACAACATTACTAAATTGTGTTTTACAGTATTAAAGACGATTCTAAATTACCTTATGAATTTGTTCTACTAGAAGGCCTTATAAAATGAAAACACAAAAATTAAAAATATTACAGCTTTCCTACACGGCACTCAGAACCACCGCCCACTTACTTTACCTGTTGCTTGTACACGTCTAAAACTTTCTCCACCCTACTTGGGACAATGCTCCACTTTTAAATACACTACAAATTTATGTACATTCAATAGTGCAAAAACGTTTTTAACAATTAAATTAAATATTTGTAGATTCATTGTGTCAACGTGACTGGCTTAAGAGCCAAAGTGGTGAGTCTAGAGACGGTAGATCTAGACGACGCTATTAGACGAGCATGTGCAATCTCATTAAAACTTCTCACTTTCTTTCTACTTCTTCCTTTATATTAAATATAAAAAGGAAATCCTGCGACGAGAAGAGTTTCCAAACTTGATTTTGGCTTCTTTCCTTTTCAGCATAGGCTTTTGCCACTCTTGTACTTTTAAAACTATAAAAGAACAAGTACAAAAGTCTTTTATCTTCTTTGTGCTCTATTTATTTCACCTCCAAAGCATCTTTTTAATACATAAGTGTTTAATTTGTAATCGACAATGTTACAATAAACACAATACTGAGCTGATAACTCATTTCAGATAGCCAATTTCGTTCTTCGCGAATTATATTATAAAGAGATATTACATTTTGTAAAACTTTTTCTACCACGAGATAAATGTTAATCACTAATAAAAAAAGAACAATTCATGGCTAAAGCCAGGAACAATGATTACTATGGATGCTTTTGAGGTTTTAGATTCGTCTTTAAATATTCCGGTATAGTGACATATTCTTTTGGGGGCGTAGAGTTCGACCTGCCGACAGGCGAATGTGAAGATCGCGCTGCAGCTGGAGGTACGATGTCTTGTCAAGAGTTACTGGCGCTCTCTGGAGCGTTATCAGCTGCTCTGCCAACTGGACAAGTGGCTTTGGATTCTTTCTTTGAGGAACTCACGAAGGGCATTAGCAAAAGGGCCGGAGAAGAGAAAATTGATACAAGGGTATGTTATAGAACTATTACTATAACTTGACATTTAATTTTTATAAAATTAAGAAGCACAAAGTGCGCACAAAAATAATATACTGAGTCAATGATAAGGTTGGGTAGCAAATTATAAAAGTACGCCTCACCTTTAAGAGTAGGTACTCTCTTTTTCTATCTATCTTGAGCTATATAATTTCAAAGGTTTTATAAATAGCCTTTCTAAATTCACTCACCATGTAATTATGAGTTATTTATACACAAATAGACAATGACAAAACAGTTCATTATCGTTTTCTTCTCTGTTGGCCAAGTGTCTTAAGGTATTACTAAGAAACATTTTTATACAACCCACGTCGAAGTTTAGTGTTTTAAAAATGTATGCAGATATACAGAGAAATAACTGAGGGCCTAGTGTGAGATTATTTCAAAGAAACTCGCTGGTGATAGCGACCGCGTTCGAAGTTGCGATTGGTGAATAGTTGTGCAGACCAATCGCAGCGCCGTACGCGGTCACAGTGACGATTTAGATGATGTGAAATAAACTCACACTCTCACACGCTTTCAGACAGGATTTATATACATACGTGTATTTTCATCTAAAAACTTACTTAAATAGATTGTAGCTCCCCTGATAGCACTTTATTGTACTTTGGGACTATGCAGTGGTTAATAAAAATTTATAAACATGTAGATCGTCGAAATAGAAGATTATTCCTGTTGTGCGGAGCTTATAGCGGCTGAGGCAGCTGCTAAGGAGACAAGAAAGAACCGTTTCAGCAATGCATGTTATAGATTCTGGAGCCGCATATCCGAGGCGCTCTCAAAACTCCGAAAGCATATTAAAGATATTGTGGATCATAAATACTTTCAACAAGGTAACGGTTTAATTTTTTTTAATATTCACATTTACAAAATCACTACTTTTATTAAATCATTTTCACCCACATTTACAAGGCAAAGGCAATTTTCATTCGGTTGCAGGAATTTTACAAACTGATACCCACAATATTCTGTGTACTCAATGAAAACCTAAAAATCTATCACAATTTTTTATAATACCCATGTCATCTAATGAAGTCTGTATTTCACAGGTATATTATTGGCAATCCTAATTAATACTTTGTCAATGGGTATTGAATATCACAATCAACCAGAGGAGCTCACGGTGATCGTAGAAATCAGTAACATTGTATTCTCTGCAATCTTCGCTGTTGAAATGCTACTGAAAATCATTGCGGAAGGCCCATTCAAGTATATTTCCAATGGATTCAACGTATTTGATGGCATTATTGTTATATTAAGGTATCTTAATTCGTTATTTAAAATTAAATGTTTGAACAAGCCTCTCTATAAAAGTTTCAAATGTAAATTTGTGACATTTGCAAAAAAAAAAGATTAATTTATATATGCCTCTGCTCGATAGTTATAAAGCCATCCATGTTCGAGAGATACGACTAAATCTATACAATTAAAGAAATTAGTGTAATAAAATAAGTTAATGGTAATCACTTGGTCGTTCTATTTGAGCCAGTTCTCAAGAAACTTTTTTTAAATTGTTTTGTGAAAAAAATACATTATATGAATTTTAATATCTCAACGTATGACGATGACGTAAACTTATTTACTACAAACTATTTTTTATTTTATAAATTTTAAATTTATTGTAATTTGTTATAACAGCGCTTTCGAATTAACACAAAGCATGAGCCATGATAAGGAGCTGGCGGGTAGCTCGGGTCTATCTGTTTTACGTACCTTCAGGCTCCTTCGTATCCTCAAACTGGTCAGATTTATGCCCAACCTGAGGCGACAGCTGTTCGTCATGCTCCGTACCATGGATAACGTCGCCGTTTTCTTCTCGCTACTAGTACTGTTTATCTTCATATTCAGGTAAATATACAATACAATCTCATCTAAGGCAAATATTTACTCACCATACAACGGAGACAGATCAGATTTCCAATTAATATTAAAGATGAAAGGTAATTTAAATTATAATAAATATTAAACAAAGATTTTAAAATGCATGGATTAAAAAAAATATTAAAATGATAGATTAACTTTATTTTCGTTAGGAAGAAAAACTGCTATTTATGAATTTTCACAAAACGTTTCTTTTGTTAGTTGTCTTAAAAAACCTACCTATTTTTTTTTAAATTCTAATATATATATATTAATAGAGTTAAAGAGATCGGTTTATCTTGTTTTATTTTCTTTGGTCTAATGCAGAACTTTCCAAATTCTGCATAGTTATGGGGTACGGGATAAACTATATCTGTCTTTAGTAACTTACGAAATCCAACTATTTATTATTTATGTAAAATCTTAATCCTTCTATTCTCTCACCTTATATCTTATTAAACAAGTAGTATCAGATCACGGCTTCTAGCAATCACGCATTGATTGCTGAACAGATTTTAAATTTTTCCGTAGCTAAAGAAGATTTATTCGACTGTACATAAAAATGTGAAATTCTGAATGTTTCTACTTAACTGTTACACCCGCATCCCTTAACCTGTGCACTAACTGTGAGTGATTTCTCCTATTTTCTTTTTAATCTTATCCTTATGTGTGTCAACCATCTTCTATCTGTGACATCAACCCACTACACACTGCCACTATCCACACTCTCTACAACTTTTTTCTCTTCTATTTATTGTCTTTTCAATCATAGTTTACGCTTTTGTGCTTTTCGTCCACTTCAGTTTTTTAACACCTGCACTTTATCACTCATCTTCTTAGAATGTATGACACATATATTGTATTTATACTATTATATTATACCCTTTATGATTTTATATTTATACCCTCCTCTGTGTGTGGAAAGGTTTTTGGTAACCGTATTATTCTCTAATCACATATTGCGTGGTAACGTTCAGCATCCTCGGTATGAACCTCTTCGGGTGCAAATTCTGCGAGAAAGACTGGAATGGCGATCAAGTGTGCGACAGAAAAAACTTTGATACCCTCTTGTGGGCCTTTGTCACGGTTTTTCAGGTATTCAACATTTTAAATTAAAATACCTAACAGACAACCCAGAAACAGACTGAACTTGCAACATTACTAAACGCTTACCCACGGGTCCGTCAGTAGCCAACACTCCTGACAAAATGACAATCCCAAACAGAAGATTGTCTAATGACGGCTAATCGACTAACAACGAGAGTACACAACCGACCGTTCACTTTGCTGCAAGAGACAATCTTCTCGAATATGCAAATGCCTACTTCAATCAGTTTATACTTAAGAAGTAATAAAGCTTGCAGCATTGTGTGATGTCCAACAAGCGTTCAGTCGCGTAACCGCTACCCTAGTACCCGCGTAGTGCGATCTAGTACCATTCGTAACAAATTGATCAAACATCATCTAGTATCACGTTCACCATATTGTTAGTACAGTACTCCCATCAGAAATTTATCCAGAGCACAATTAATTAGTCAGTGAGCTTGGTTGAGTAGTAGGTTAGCTTGAGGTCGTTCGAAGCCGAGTCGCGGGTTAACCTGTTCGTCAGTTCCTCTACTCCCACTATTACAGCTGCACTCAGTTTATACAGTATCTATCACTCCGCATGTCGCTTCTATTATTTAGTATTAATCTGGTCAGCTTGAGACGAAATTTGTGGATGATTATTTTACAACTTTCCAGGTTTATATTTTTATGACCTCAAAATTTATTCTTCACAAGTTTCGTTGTCAACTCCAGCATCCTTGTTTTTTACTTCTGTGACCATCTAATTTTCAATCACTATCTTGTTTCTTACACTTTATAACCTCCACTTTATTATTAACTGTAAACTTTGATCCTTACATCTAAATTTCCTTAAATTATTTTCCTCTGCATCTGTTCAGGATGATTTATAATTTTACGATTATTGCATTTAAATACTTTGAATGAATATTGAAATAAGTAATATGATAATTCAATATGAATGAAAATTTTGTTTTTTTATCGTTTCACGCACTTTACTTTCGCCTTTTATTCCTCCTCCAAACTAAGTTTATTGCATTTTCTATTTATATAATCATGAAGCAGTACATAAAGAATGAAATATAATTTCGATTGATTAAGTTTGAGGAACTTAATTGCACAAAATAACAGATTGTTAATGAGTAAAAATATAATTTAAAATTAACATATATTACCGTTGTTTGTAGCGTCCCAAGGGCGATAACACTGCATAACCTAGGCTTTTAATTTATTAATAATTTTATATCACATTGTAAATTAAACTCACTATTTACTGAACATGTCTTTTGAAATAAAACTAAAATTACGTCACTACTGCGTGTAGATATGCAGTTACTTTTGCACTACTAATACTTATATGTGCATACTTCTTGTAGATGTAAACATTGATGACGGCATTGGTACTATTTAAGCTCTTAGTTATAGCACTAACTGCACATTGGAACGTTTCTACAAAAACACTGTATATCCCGTAACATTAGTATTGTTTCACTGGTGCATTGTTGAAAGCAGGTTACAGTGTTACCGTCTCGTACGCAACAATAATGTCGTCAGGATGACTCGGTCGCGGCGTATGCGCATAGCGTTTTGTTTTTCTTTCATTTTTACATCGGCTCCGCGACACGCAGTATTCTGGGCATGTATCTATTCGGTGGTAAGTTTTGCAAGTACGTCGAGGACAATGGCACCGAGCGGGATTGTACCTGCCCCGAGATCGTCTCGCACCATCCGAAGTGTGAGTGCGACAGGAAACATTTTAATAACATCCTGTGGGCAACAGTCACCGTGTTCCAGGTAAGCTATGAGCGGTACGATTAAATAGGCACAGTAATAGAGGGTTTATTTGCGTTCCCGTATATTTTTTAGAAGATTAGACGGTAGACCGCGTTTTTCTCGTAAATTCCAACATAACTGATTGGCTAAATAAACGATGTTTTGTCTTATTTTACAACTTGGAATGGTTGTGAGACAAGATGAATGATACAACTTCTTGATTAATATTACTGAACAAGACTTTATATTATTATATTTGTCGCTAGCGAGAGATCCGCTGTATAGCATAGATTTTCATTTTTGGTAATGCACCACAAGGAGCGCTCCGTAGCTAGATTGCATCTTGCTTAGTAGTTTATAGTATTAGGATATGCTGGACCCTGTATGCTTGTGTACTCAAACTCGCCGTCTGTGTTCCCTTTCATTATTGTGTATTAGTGAACACCGACACAACAACATGACACTTGTAACACTAACATGCTAATTAATAACAAATGTTCTTATTTTTATTTTATTTGATTTGTTGACATTTGAATTACTTAACATTTTATTACAAACACTAAAAGGCACGACCTGATACAATATGACAGCACACCTTGCTTATTTTCATTTATTAACAAAATCGAATTTAAGAATATTTGATGTCGTAGAACTGTTTGCACGCTGAGGTTAAATACTTATGTTGACGCATGCGTTTCAGGTTTTAACCCAGGAAGATTGGAACGTTGTGTTATTTAATGGTATGGAAAAAACAAGTCACTGGGCTGCATTGTATTTTGTAGCACTTATGACATTTGGAAATTATGTACTATTCAACTTGCTGGTAGCTATACTCGTCGAAGGGTTCAGCTCAGAAGTAAGTTAAAGACGTTCTGAATCAAAATCTTTGCACAATCCCTGATGGCAATTTTTAAGTTTAAATTTCATAAAAGTACGTCTGTACAGTGAAAGTGGATGTGACAGTGAAAGTTATGATTACATTTTGTATAATATACATATCCTTAACTTAAATAAATATTATTATAGTTATATTGTCTTAAATTGACGACAAGTTATAAACTAAGATTATTTTCTCAGAGAAAAATATTATTCTTAAGACATATGATACAATCAATAAATGTAAGAAAAGTATTTTTTCCTTAGAATGACCCATTAAAGTATAATAATACAAATATTTTAGCGAAATGAGAGAAGAGAACGAGAACAACGCGAGTTGGCAAAATCAAAATTGTCAGGTGAATGTTTCTCAGAAAACAACGAGTTGCAATACGATGAGTCAAACTCGGGGTCACATTCCAGCGACAGTTTTTCACAGGTATCTCCTATACGATTTTCTTGGTTCAGCTAGATAACTTTTAATTGAGCTTTGAGCCTTTGCATTGCTCACATTCATTTTGATAATGGAATGTTAGAACAAATTGCTTTTTATTTAACAGAACGAAATAAAAAATTATTGGCGATCAGCGGATGATGTACGTAAAGCTAAAGATGATGTAAACGGTCATAAAGAAAAAACAATACGATCACGTCGAAAGACAAAGTCTTCTGTTCACCACCCAACTCTCTGCAAGGACTGCGCACAATCCAATAAGTGTAACATACAAAAAGTAAGTATATGTTATGAAAATGTTATTTTTATCGTTTAAAGCACTTTACTTTCGTAAAATAAAATAAGTACAAACATAATAATGTATTATGACCTAAATCAAATTGCTTAGTTTATTATATTTGCAGTTGTAATATATAAGGGTCTTGCCATAAATCTTTAATTTACCGAATTAATAAACAGTGTGGCAGAGGTATAAGATTTGGGTTACAAAAAGGTACCTCAACAAATTAATTGCTAGTGATTTATTAGAATTGAAATACATCTCCAAATTAATAGAAGAACCCTAATCAGTTAGTCAGAGCTGTTTTTAAACTATTCATAGAACTTTGTTACGTGGCATAAAAATCGCATATCGTTAAAAAAATTATTAAAACAATTAATAATTTAACACGAACATTTTTTTCATTTTAAATTAGATGTTTTGTTCTGTTTACTGTATTATTGTAGTTAAGAATGAGTTAGGTTACTGAGAAATAAAATTATATTGAATATTATGTGCACTTAACCAGCAAAAAATTTTATACACTTATAATACAGATAAAATCTTATCTGTATGATAAGTATATAAAAATTTACACAACTTCGGTGGAAATAATAATATTCTACAACATTCACACAACGCCATCTAGTCCCAAACTAAGCAGAGCTTGTACTATGGCTCCTAGACAACTGATATAAATATATACGAGTATATGTATGTACTTTTTTTTTGCAAATACAAACATATTATACATAGACACACCCAGATCAAATCAAACATTAAATGTATGAACATTTAATGTGCATGAGCACACAAATGTTTGACTTGAGCGGAAATCGAACCCGCGACCTTTGGAATTAGTCCGTTACACAAACCACTACGCCATCCGGTCGTCGAAATATAGATAATATTTCATCAAACTGAAAAATATTAATAAGTGTTCGTTTGGTAAGATAATTTTATAAAGTAACTTAGATAAATAATCTAAGTTAATATTGTTAATTTACTTAAAGTAAGATATAGTTTTACTTTCAATTTTATGTAATTTAATTTGTAACTACCTACTAACCTATATCTGATATTGCAAAATACATCTTCTTTTATTCTATTAAAACTATAGGAGTCGAAAATGTTGGCTAGCGGCGGAGCTGTGCCGGAAACAGCAGTGCCAATGATTACCCATACAGCAGCTACGCCACAAGATTCGCCCTCCACTACATTAGAACCGGGTGCTTCATTCAGGGATTTTAATATGACCCTGAGCTTAGAAAGATCGTCAATGCTCTCCAGTTTGGACTCTATTGACCGCACATCTGTACGTATTTGAGTATTTTTTCTAATATAGCTGTGTATTTGATTGAAATATTTGATAATTTATAAAACTTTTTTTATTCATAGTGTACCAGCATACCGGGTCTCTTAAAACCACCGAACAGCTACACACTAACACTACACTCAGCCCATCTCGGTGCTGAAAAAGCTCGCCTCCCACCCGTGTCCCTTGCTCCTCTCCCTCTAACCCTAGCTCTTCCCCCTCTAAGATCTGTGTCACCCGCCCCAACAACGCCCAGTACACCAAGGTCTATGCCGTCGCCTTTGTTGCCGGAAAAAAATCTTCAAGTCACAATAGCGAGAGATGAGAACTGTGTAAATACAAGTGATAAATCAAGTCTTCTAAGTTCGCAGAGGTAAGTTATTTATCTCTTAGTCATGTTGCAGGTTCTCCTGATTACTGATCGTGAAGCTTATTAAGTCTGTTCTACTGTAATTTATTAAAAAATGTTTACCATATTAAGTAACAATATAAAAAATCTTTGTCCTTATCTTCATTTATTTATTGGAATAGGAGATACATTAAAATACTTTTATTAAAGTTGCTGTATCTTTAGTAAACGTAAACACCATAATAATAATTATAATAAATAAAAATTATATTTAAACCTTTTAGAATATCACCCAATACATAATTCTCCGTATCGGACATTCATTAATTCTTTATACAATTAATCAAAGCACGAAACTAGTTCCTTTTCTTATTAAACATGTTTATTAAGCATTTATGTCACCTATTGACATGCTCAAAGAACAATTTGTGTGTCCTACACTCTAAGCAGCAACTAACCAAATTTGAAGTAGGAAAGTTCTTGGTAAACTTTTTAGTAAGCTTAAGTAACAACTCTTTTTCTAATATTTAAGGAACATCAGTGTTGTAAGCACCGGTATAAATGGCGACGAAAAGTGTAGAGTACAACGAGGGTATAGTTGGCGATTGTCACGGCCAAGTTTGAAAAAGAAACCTAAACAAAGAACTGGATCAGACTCCGACACCATAGTGCTCAACAACGGGAGAGACCACACCGTTTGCAATGGTATTCATATAAAATATTAATTAATTTTATACATGTGCATTGTACATATATTTTCCTTTACGTACGTATTTTTAGTGCTAGTAGAACACAATAATAGTGGGTATATAGATTATAAATAACCATAAAAACCAATGTAATAGATAAAAATAACTAAATAAGTTTAACTTGATTATTATTTATACACACACATGTGCAAAAGACATTTTCTTTGTCTAGGAAAACTTAAGTATATCATGTAAGGTCCAGTGCGGTTTTATGTTCATCTTGCGGATTCCTCTGACGCATTCTGATTTTTCTGACGCTTTTGTTCTTTTACTAGACAAGATGGAAAAAACAAAGTTAAAAGTTTAACTGATAAAAGATTTATCAAATTAATAATATAATAATAGATTCTCCATTTCTTGCGTTTTTGCCTTAAATTAAAACCCTAATAGAATATACTAGGGACCCGTGCCTAGTTAACCAAGCCAACTTAAGCCAAGCATACATTTGACACTAATCAAAACTGAAAAGTTAAGACGCATGATGAATTTAATTAAAAACGCATTGGTATTGACATAGTTACTAGTGTACCAGACACTCACACATCTTTTAATGTATACATAAATTGTTATTATTAAATCGATTAAACATAGATCCTTTTTTATGACTAGCATTCCTAAAACTAAGATGCATATTATTTCGTTAATAAAACTCTACCCATATATTTCTCAGGTGACAAAACAATTAGTAAATTCTTACCAATATTTATAAAGCAATATGACCTACCTTCATACAAATATTAAAATAGCTGGAGGTATCTCATTAAGTTAAGGGTTGCCTGTAAGAGATCGCAGACTGCGATAAGGCCGGGCGGCCTTATCGCATTGTACCACTGTTTTTTTTTAATTTTATGTTTAAATTGCATTGTATGTTTTCTATCCATGGTGTGCAATAAAAAGTACCTATCTATCTATCTAAGTACGACAGTAAAAAACTTGTCAGGAAACTTCCAGGAGTTCTATTCGTAAATAACTTTTCTATTATTGACGACTAAACAAATTTAATAGGATCGAGCATCCGAAAAAACGAACTTCTGCTATCATCGTCGAACGTGATAAAGAATGACACGCAGTCAGAATTGCCGAACAACAGAACACGGGGTCAGTTACCGGCACCTAGGGTTCTGCCTCAAACGACAAGAAGGGTCTCGGCACATAACGCTCCTTTACTACCAGATGTAAGTATAAAAAGTAATACTAAATAATTTACATATATCCTTTAATTACCTGCTTACAGCATAAATAGACCCTCATGTTTGGTTGCGATCATGAGGTTACTAGAAATTATTCCCATGTCATAAATGTTTAAAGGCGACATGGGATCTGAATATATGCACTGTACCACTGATAGTGTGCTAATCTGTAATTATGTCTGACAAAAATAGTACCTACAAAATTTTTCGTGATCAAAAGCAAGTCATTCTGGGTATATGTACAAATACCTGTGTGTTAAATAACGTCACGAAATAAGTGTGGATAAAGATAAATATGGTATTTTTTCTTTAAGGAAATTCAACCCTGAAAAAAACTCATTTTTATTTGTAAATACTTTAAACACTTAAGCTACTGCTACACCCTGACTTAAGTGTTTGAACTTTTTAACATTTAAAATGCATATACATACATTTTAAATGTTAAGCACCACAATCAGATAAGTACTAATAAGTACTATACGACATAAAACTATTTATACCTTGCAGGGTTATTTTGGTGATTTTTATCCTCAGAGTTTCTTAGGACGGAAAAATAGTTGATAAAGCTCAAGTGTAATTAGACCTATATTTATAATGGTATTTTTGGAGTCTACTCTTTAAAAATCGATTTTCATATAAGACACCCGGTATGAAAAAAATATGACGAGTAAAATTTAATGATCGAATGACCTCGTTACGTTCTAAATGTAATTTTTATATAGCGGTTCAACTATTCACTTTTACGTGGTTGTAATAATATTTTTTGCAAGTTAGTTTCTAATAACTAACTTGATGATTGCAGTGTGTTTCAGTTTACTGAGTAGTTCATTATTAATTAGTAAAATTGTATTAAAACGAAATAAACCCCAAAATAAATGGCAATTAATATGTCACTTTTAATAACTTTACTGAGATTTACATAGATGGCGCTGGTCACTAAATTTTTACGTACACAGGGTATGCGTTTTTAAGGAGTAAACTCCAACACTCGTGCGTCGGAGCTGACACACACACTTTTTTTTTAATTTTTGTTTAGGTGTCATGGAAAGCACCAGAAGCAGGTTTTTCGTCGGATTCAACGGTTCGTCTTGATACAGCCAAGACTCCCCCACACAGACTTTCTCTGACCAACGACTACTTAACAGGTATTCAACAGATTATGATGTATAAACTTACCCTCTGTCCAAGTTCACTTTTCGAATACAAAAAATCATGGAATTTCAAATAAACTTGTGAGTGCTGTCAGATCTATTAAAAGTGGGAGAGCCATGCTTCGGCACGAATGGGGCGGCTCGACCGGAGTGATACCACGACGTCACAGAAAACCGGTGTTAAGCAATTCAGCTTCGCACAGCAACAAAGCAGCAACGGACGTGTGACTTTTGAGTTGCAGGTGTTCATGGGGGGCGATAGTTGCTTACCATCAGGTGACCCGTCTGCTCGATTGCCCCTTTACACCACAAAAAAAAACAGCCCGGTCGAAAAAATTTTTTTTAACTTTTTGGATTTCACTCTTTACGTATAATCTACCTACCTCTATTGACAATTTTATAAAACTTTTGACTATGTAGTATCTCCTAACGATTAATCGTGGTAAGAAGGCTGCTACTTAAAGATGATTTTGTACAACTAGCACAATTTAAATACTAAATTAAACAAACACGTAAAGCGTCTATGCCTATCATTTCAATCATTAAAAATATCTTTGATTTGGATTCATGAACTTCCTTTCATGAATCCAAATCAAAGATATTTTTATATCTTGCTTTTACCAAATTGATAAAACCCACCCACAAGCTTGATAATATTTATTTATCAACCCTCGCTACGGAAAATGCCTCTCTGGATAATAGGACCGATGTTAGGGATACCGTAATATACTCGTAGTGTATGTACGAGTATACTAGTAACACACACTTTGTCATGCATCAACGTGTTACTTGTGGTAATTCCAAACGGAAAAGGGGGAAAATCATCACACGTGGTACACAATTAAATCATTCTGAAATGTCAGGATTGAAATTGATTTGAAATTTGAAATTGAAATCTTTGTAAATTACTTTGCCGACGTACATTTTATTTCTCAACAATGATTTGATTGATATTTTATGTTAACAGTGACGACAGTATGTGAGGTAAAAACGAGCAATTTATCTCCAGTAGTGGGTAGCGCGGGCGCGCCAGTTGTAACGTCACGAGCAACGCGCGAGTTGCCAGCGCCCGCGCTACCCACGCGCCCCAACAATCAACCACTGCCCCTTATGAAGCAGATCAACGAGGAGGTGAGCCGTTGGAATGTAAGGACATTTTTTACAGATTTGGGCACAATAGTGATCACTAGCTGTTGCTGATTTCATAATCATGGTGGTTACTAACAAAGATAAATCATAGAGAAAAGACTATAGCTGTGCCTGTAATAACATACAATTGCTTTTCAGGGTTGTCATCATCTCTTCGAAATTTAATAAAAAATAACAATTATTATTTTGAAATAAGACCGTAAATTAATTTAATAAACGTGTGATTTTATTATCTCTTTTCATAGTATGTATTAATTTGCGATTTTACATAGATATTAGACTAATATTGACAGTTTTGAGATATTTTTTTAGCCATCTCATCTTTAACGCCATTCACTGTAACGCTATTAAAGATCTCACCGTTTTAGCTAAATCAGTCCATGTTGATCCATGCTTTTAGCATATATTAGACTAACCACATGTAGAAATTTCCACGTAACATTATTTTCCAGGTGGCCATAAATAACGTGTGCTTGTTATCATCACGATTCGACAGGCGACGTTACAGATTCAAGGATCTATTCCGCTTTATGGAGCCGACAGGCTGTCTTAAGGAAAAAGAATTTTACTCATTGTACCTCTTCGCACCCGACAACAAGTAAGATTTTTATATCTAACTGTATTATGATAGAAATATATCATTCATCCATTGTATTTAAGGAATTCCGTACAAGGTGTCTTGCAACTTTAAATAGGTTAGATATTGTGATTACATTAATTAAATATATTTCACATATTCGTTTACACATAGGTTATACATAATTCGATTTTACCATTAATTATTCATGTAGCTTAAAACTTTTAGCAATAAAAGGCCAAATTACTGGGGGCCAAATTAATTAATTACTTTCTCATGTCATCACTGTTGATTAAAACTAAGTTCAACTTGTATCTAAACTTTGGCATATATTTAAAGGGTTTATCAAAGGTAGCTCTTTAATTACATTAGGTGTAGTCATTAGCATTGTGCTTAACATTAAAGATACCGACTCATTTTATATCAACAATGAAGTTTTATAAGAGAACAGAGCAGCTACTGAATCATTAATATTGTTTCTTTCTGCTCCAGCATACTCGCAAAACTGTATTTTGGGAAATAAATGTTGCACAAACGAACGATAAACAATAGCGCTAAAGTTTGACCTACTTCACCCAGTCCCTTAATAATAATAATACCTTGACACACACACGGCCGTCTGAATCCTAAGTAGGCAGAACCCGTACTGTGGTAACCAGACTAATGGTAAACATACTTATAATTAATTAAATAAATATAGATTAATTACACCCAGATAGAGATGAAGACTGATCTGTTTTGGGTAAGAATCTAAAGCCACCTGAGGATTCCGGATCATTTTTCAGAATCCCTAGCTACTAAAAAAAACAAGAACGTCTCTTTTCTTAGTCTTTGCTTAGTTTTTTTTATTCTATATTCACACAGGATACGTAGGTTTTGCACATGGTCTACAACAAGGGGCTGGTTCGACAACATTGTATTGTTGTTTATCGCACTGAACTGTATAACACTGGCGATGGAGCGACCCAACATACCACCGGATTCTAAGGAGCGAGCATTCCTTTCCACCGCTAACTACGTGTTCACCGTGGTCTTCGCCATCGAGATGTTGATCAAGGTAAATAATAATGTATATCAAATTGATGAATGTAAAACTGAAATGGCAAAGAAAAATACACCCTTATTTACCAAAAATATATTATCATAGAATTTATGTAATACATACACATATATTATATTATTAATTACAATATTTTGAACTTAGTTTTTTTTTTAATCTTCTTTTATTGACTTGTTTTTATCATGTATGTTAATAATCTACATTAAAGATAAGGTAATATAGCAAACTAACAACACACACATTTTAAGTAAATCAGCTAACTGATGTTTATCCTAATAACAAAAATTACTTAACTTTATTTTGAATTTTTACGCTTAGCGATTTTATCGAGGTGAACCCAATAATAAAATAGGCTACACGGTGATTCTGCCACTAACAATCAACATTTAACAAATAATAGGCATAATTCATAATTACCCCATGTAAATGGTGGTTAGTGACCTTAGTAAAATTAATATAAGTTAACCTGCCTTAAGAAGTTGCAAATACATGAAAATTAACATTTCAAAACTACATTAATATTTCTAGTAAAAATTAATTATTTAATTATCACAATCTACTGAAAAGCCAATCTTTAACCATTATTTCTTAAACGACTTAGAAGCTTTGACGCCAATCAAACTTCATTGTGTTATAGTAATTTGACTACATAATAAATCAAAACACGAAATGACTTATGCGTAATTAGTAAAAGTGTGGCTTACATTTTAAATCCATACGTATTTGTGCTGGATGTTACTCATATTACTATAGCAAAGAAAGTTAAACACTTCATTAAATTACTCTAATCGACTATATGACGGTACCATTCTAAACAGATTATCGTTTAATATAGGTGATAGCTTCGGGAATGTTTTATGGTCCAGATGCTTACTTCACTTCAGGGTGGAATATCATGGATGGCTCATTAGTCATAATATCCATTATTGATTTATTAATGTCTCTAGTATCAGAGTCTAGTCCACGCATATTTGGGATTCTCAGGGTATGTAACTTTTCACATTAAATTGTAAACATTTGACTTATGTAACTTCCATTATTTTATATTTATTTTCCGTCTGCAGGTATTTAGATTATTAAGGTCATTGAGGCCATTAAGAGTTATAAATAGAGCGCCTGGTTTGAAACTCGTAGTTCAAACATTGCTTTCGTCTTTGAGACCAATTGGAAATATTGTGCTCATTTGCTGCACATTTTTCATCATCTTCGGTATATTGGGAGTTCAGGTAAGTTTGTATCCTCATCCTCATCCTCCCCCTGATTACCTCATTTCCACAAAATATAAAGTAAATGAACAATTCTAAAAAAAAAACCAATAATTATTAACTTAATTTTCCACGTATATTCCGTGAAAAGGGAGCCAAATGTTAAGTTGAATAAAACCCCTACGGGAAAGGAAAGGTATAACTTTGACCGCGAAATAATTATTGAAGCAACCCATAGTAGTCAGACCTAAAATAACATTCCCCCTCGAGTAAACTGTTTACAAGCAGCTTACGTACTTTAACACGTTCATTTTTCCGATCAAACTTCCATGTTATATTAATATTTAAAGCAAAAAGATAAATGATGATGAATTTACAAAAATGAATACTTACCGAAAATCGTTTATTATTTCCTTTCAGCTATTTAAAGGGGCATTTTTCTATTGTGAAGGGGCGTACATAAAGAATGTTAAAAACAAGACGGATTGCCTCGCGATAGAGGGCAATGTTTGGGTCAACAGGAAATACAATTTTGATGATTTAGGAAAAGCACTGATGTCACTATTTGTACTCAGCTCTAGAGATGGATGGGTCAACATCATGTATACTGGCCTTGATGCAGTTGGAGTCGACCAACAGGTATATGTAAAGTTATTTTGGTTGACAAAGTTAAAAAATCAAAACAAAAAAAAGCAATACAATTTGTGCACAAATATACCACTCTCGAATAAATAAAAATTTCTCTACATAAAAGACAACGGATTAATGCAATTATAAGCATCTTTCGAATTTATTACAATAAAACATTTTTTTTTGTATTTTAAATATGATTCCTCGTATTGTTTCCACGTCTTAACTATGTTACAACCGCAACAACGTTTATATTACAAATCTACTTACTTTAAATTATAATTAAGTACTCACATTGCTCTGAAGTGTTTCAAATAAATTCACTTTATTTGTTTTCAGCCAATTGTTAACTACTCAGAATGGCGTCTTCTCTACTTCATTGCATTTATTTTGCTGGTGGGATTTTTCGTCCTGAACATGTTCGTCGGCGTAGTAGTAGAAAACTTTCACAGATGTAGAGAAGAACAGGAGAAAGAAGAACGAGTTCGCAGAGCAGCCAAGAGAGCACTGCAAATGGAAAAGAAAAGAAGAAGTTAGTAAAGAACACTAATTGTAGTAAAGAACAAAATAGCCACTAACACAATAAATACTAATAACATCGTATTATTTTCAGAAATGCACCAAAGGCCATATTATGCAGATTACTCACAAACACGATTATTCGTTCATAATGTAGTCACATCCAAATACTTTGATTTGGCTATTGCTGGAGTCATTGGATTAAATGTCGTCACAATGGCTATAGAATATTACAGAATGCCTCCAGCGCTACAATACGCTTTAAAAATATTTAACTATTTTTTCACAGCTGTCTTCATTCTAGAAGCTATAATGAAACTAGTGGCTTTGGGATTTAAAATATATTTAAAAGACAAATGGAATCAACTTGACGTAATCATAGTTATATTGTCTATCGTGGGGATCGTTCTAGAAGAATTGGAAACAAATATAATTCCGATAAACCCTACAATCATGAGAGTGATGAGGGTTTTAAGAATAGCAAGGGTTTTAAAGTTACTTAAAATGGCCAAAGGCATAAGGGCATTACTGGATACTGTAATGCAAGCTTTACCACAAGTTGGAAATTTGGGTTTATTATTTTTCCTTCTGTTCTTTATATTTGCGGCCCTCGGCGTGGAACTCTTCGGAAGACTAGAATGTTCAGATGAAATTCCATGTCAAGGTATATTTTTCTTTTTTCACTAATAGAGAAAAACGGCCGAACGGACGACGGAAACGAAAATTATCTCTAATTTTTCTTTTTTTCTTTTAAGGACTTGGCGAGCATGCTCATTTTGCAAACTTTGGTATGGCTTTTCTGACGTTATTTCGCGTAGCAACCGGGGATAACTGGAATGGTATTATGAAAGACACTCTTCGCGAGGATTGTGATAGTTCTGTGGATTGCGTCAGAAATTGCTGCGTATCAACTATCATAGCACCTATATTCTTTGTGGTATTCGTACTGATGGCACAATTTGTACTTGTCAACGTCGTTGTTGCTGTAAGTATTTAAATAAACGATGATTAGAATAACATAATTAATAAAATTAGTCGTCTAAAATAATTTTATTTTCAGGTACTTATGAAACACCTAGAGGAATCCCACAAACAAATGGAAGATGAAAACGATATGGACGTTGAACTTGAGCGTGAATTAGAACGAGAAGCAGACGACGAGGAAGACAGGGCCCTATGTCGCGCTCTAGAACAGTGTATGAGCCCTCCACGGCCTCTTAACAAGGTATCCTCTCTTCCGGCAAACTTTACTTACAGCGAGCCCAAGCAACCTGCACCGTCCCCTGCACGCCGACGGCGCACGCTGCACTCTCACACAGCTTTGTTGCCGCAGTCGCTACCACCGAGACGGGCTTCTTTATCTCCTCACGCCTTTGGGCGGCGTCGACAGGACTCCAGTTCTGATGCGCCCTCAGCACTCTACGAGGAAGATGCGCGCTTCATCGATGCCGATGATATTGACGAACTTGAGCCCGGAAGTCCCCCTCGACGAGATAACTTCGCACAAAACAGACGTCAGAGAGTGGATAAAAGAAATTCCCTACGCGGTGAGGAAGCTCGCTTACTTCGACCTGTACTTCTTGCAGTACCTTCCTCCAGGCAGAGTTTAAGACTGACGGGATCCAAAAGAAGATCCTCTACAGAAACAGCTGCAACGAGCGACATAAGTAATGCGTCTCATTCGCTTAATCCTCTCATAGCAGGATCGTCAACCCAACCGATCACCGAAGAGGAGAAAATAAGAATAGTAATAGCAGAGAGGCGGAAAATGGATGCGACTAGACCGGAACCGGATGACACTGTGGAACTTGCGGAGCGAGGTTCCTAGTCCAGGCGAGGCCGGCCGCAGCAACACCACGAAGTCTACATCTAAACAGCGCTAAGGGGTGTTGAAATGGACCACCTAATCTATGCCTCTTTATTTCACACTCTACCTATCTCCTACGAACCTTTGATCGATAAATGTATGCTCAAGGGACAGTGAGTGCTTGAACTCGGTTGCACAAGTGATTGCAGTGAAGATTTCATGAAATCATTATGGCTTGGTGTGTTTTAGTGTTGTGTTTCACTGTCGATTACTAAGAAGGATTGTCTGCGAAAAGCGATGTTCTCCTTAACTTTACTTTTACATGTCCGCCTTAACCTACACTTGACCATTTTGCGGCCGGTTCAAATACTTTATAAAGGACTTTAATAAATTTAGATTAAGATGTATAAAATATGTAGATAGGAGTTAGAACTAGTCAATTTGTTGTGGTGAGATGTTTTCTACGAGAGCTAAAGTTCACTTCCTAACTTTATTATTAGTACGGTGCTTGCTGTTTATGGTTAATTTAACTGATTGTTGTAATGTATCCCAACAAAGGACTCAACGAAATATGGACTTGTAATGTAAAAAGAAATGTATTGTGGAATAGCTGACTCGCTCTTAGAGTTAAATAAACAACGCCACAAACATTTGTTGGGGAACAAAGTTATAATGTGCAAGTTGCACAACACAAAACGGGTTTCAAGACATTGAATTTTAGTGTTTTTTTAAAATAAATTCATCGAACATCAGAATCCCACACGATCATAATTTTCGTATGTGGATACTTAGTCATGATTACTTCCAAAGTATCTATTAGTCAATGACTGTGTAGCCTCATAGTATATTGTTACTAGCTAGTATTTTTCAATCTAATAAATATCTAGGGCGGAACCAATCGTTCGCAAATTAAATATTTTTCTCTCTAAAGATGAAAAATAATATTTTCTGAATATAAATGAATCCTATTTTCTTACCAGAGGCATGTACGTTATTTAGACGTTAACTGGCAATACGCACATAAAAGTTAGAGTGTAGGTAGACTTGAAGTAGCATTATGAGAGACAAATCGCAAAATTGATCCTGTTATCCAATGTATATTTGCGCTCTACGATAGTTGGGACTTAGATTTATCATTTATAATTTTAAATGTTTAGTGCAGTGTATCACTAGCCGTGCCAAATCTACAAAACCTATCTGACTTAAGCAACTTCTAAAAAAAGTTTTAATTAGATATTTGGTCCCTATTTGCTTACCTCTTAAAACTTATTCGCTCAAAAATTTGTCACTGTCTACTTTAGAAAGGCCACAAAACACGCAAGACTTAGTAAGGCAAATTATCTAAAATATCAAGGAATGTTTAATTTCAAGTACAAACTATTAAGTTTATTTTTAAGAAGTGACTATTAGTTTCTATTTACTGTAAACGATCGTACCTAGTTAGGGAAGTCAGCAATAAATTTTATACTTCGACTGTGCCTTTCCTATTTCTAACGTATTAGCTTGTGAAGTTAAATGTGGGTAGTATCAGAGATTTAACGTATACTGTAGGAGTTGGACTGTAGATTACATTGTATGTACTATGAAATGTTTAGTCTTTAAGTTTTTTATATTAAGTCATCTAAAAAAATATAAGACATTTCCTTGAGTTAATAATGTTATCATTGTCATTCCGAAATAACAAATATTTTTGTAAGAACACAATCAATGTAACATTTAGCCTAGAGTTTAGAATTTGCTATTTCAGTAGCACTATTCATTTACAACCTATTTAATAGACCTGATAAATTGTTCTTACTTTGACGCTTCCACAAAACGCTCTTTTTTAATTACATATTATTATATAACGTCTTCCATCTTTACTTAATCTAGAGCGACGACTTAAGTGCTATCGATCAAAGTTGTAATGAGTATTGAATAGCTACAATAGTTTAGTCGTGTATAATAGACATCGAGTGATTTCAATTTTGATTATATTTTCAAACCTTGTGTAAAACAATTGATTAAAAGGAATTTAGTAAAAGTAAGTATAGTGTTTTCGTGATAAAATGTAAATTTCGTGATAATGACGAATAATTGTTTTTCGGTACTGATCGTATAATTATTTTTAAGAGGTATGAACAATGTTCATAGTTGAGTACACCTGTTATCTTAGCTGGTGGTCTGTCGAGTTAAGAAAGTTACGACAATGTTAGGTTGAAAAAATAAAGGAAAATTCTAATTTGTATTTCATTTCACAACGCCTTATTGCGCACAACGAGAGAGCCACAAGGCCGCTTATTAATATGAAGTTCTATCTCTCAAAGTGAGATTATTATTATTTTTGAGATGCACGTTTATTTAACACGTCTCTGGGTAATTTGCTAGACACAGGTATCTCTCAAAAGAAAGATCAACAGGCGAACTGAATTGAGTTTAGCAACAATCTTTGCGAGCGTCCTATCTTGTTAGCGAGCGCTTACAATTTCATTTGCATAATTCCTTGTAACGAATTTTAGTAGGTTCTTTATCGTGTTGAACAACATGATGCCACTTTGTGAAAAGATGAAGACGCGCCTAGTACTGGGTGAAAGGACTTGTTTGTCAAATAATTAAGTCTGACCTATTTCACCCAGAGAAAATCCTGTTTGAATATTCAAGAACACGAAGTAATTATTTTAAAATCTGCCAATACTAAACTGAATATATTTTGTGTTTAGGAGCTTCTTTGTTTTTTAATATGAAATGAAATTCATTTATATTTTGCAATTAAAACCAAAAACAAATCTCATGTAAGCCATAAAACATTATTACATACTTGTAGAAAGTGAAATTGTTGCATTCGAGAACTACTTTAAAATAATTATGTTGTGGCTCTAAATCCCGTTTTAATCACCTACGCTAGTATTATACTATTTAATATAAATATTTATAGACAGTTTTATGTCTAATATCGCATAATACATAAATTACTATAGGAGGTACTTAAAAATGGGACTAGAAGCCACTTACTATAAAAATAAAATTCTTCGAGTAAAATGATCAATCGTGGGTCTTATCTCAATCTACACACATTACAAAGTCTACTGATCGAACGGTACATTGTGTAGCTTAGGTCAGTTTGGTCTGTTGGCAGCTGGTATAGCTGGAGAAACTGTAAATGAATGATAAAGCTTCATAATATATAACCAATTAAATTATGTTATCATCATCATCTTCTAAAAATCCATTGCTGGACATAGGCCTCTCCTGTTGTGCCGATGTACGAGTATGTCTCTCCCACGATAATATTATTATTATTAATAGTATACGTATACCGGCAAGCTATACATATCATCAATCATCATCAACAGCCTTTAATAGTCGACTGCTGGACAAAGGCCTGTCCTTAGGAAAGAGTTTATAGCCACACTGGCCAGACGATTTTTTTTTATTTATTTTTTTAAAGACAACTCCCGCACTAGTGATAACTCCTGTGTTGCCAGGGACTTTACAAACATACATGAAACGGATACAAAGTACACCCAGACTCAGAACAACAATTTGTAGATCACACAATAGGAAGCGGTGTGGCGACCGCTTAAACCACTACGCCTTTAGTGCAGACAAATTTGGTATAGGGTTTGTTTTAAGTTTTCCTTCTCTTTTGTAAAAAGACATTATGACTGAACAGTGTGACGGCTATAGACATAATAAACAAAAACTGAAAAGCATTGTTATAAGTATCAAATGGGTCTAGAAAATATGTTTCTGATAATAACTAGTTAACCAATAAATACTGATTCGCATTTAAATCTTAAATTAGTCTAATTACCTAATTGCTTTTAATTGAACCTATTCGTTGTAGAATTAGGAAATCTTACATATTTCAAGTAAGTACAGATCATATATATATCAAATAACATAAGCATGGGGTCCTTTTGGTAATGATAAATAACATTTATTTGAATTTGCAAGAGGTCTGAGTTCAACATTATACAAAAGATTTATATACACTAAATTAACTCACCTTTTTTAAAATTACCTAAATGCTTTCAAGAAAATATGAATTGCTAACTACGTAAACAAAAATGGAGTATGCTGATTGATATTTTCGTAATGTCAACTGGACAATCTGTTTTGGGTGGGCACGTCTACTTTGATTCCAATTACATGTCAATTACAGTGGAAGGACTTTTCTAGACTTTTCTTTCTGTATTTTAGCTGTTAAATGAACTGGATTCTATTTCGCATTTTATTTACTTTCACATTATCTATCTCTAAGAGATAAACATTTAAAGTACATGTTTTCAAGTAAGCGGTCGTATGGTATGAGGGTTCACGATTACATGTACACAGACATTTAGTAAAAAGGACATGAAATATATTTCTACTACATATTTTTGGAATATTAAGACAAATTACACTTAAATACCCTATAAAAATTACTAGGACTTTACAACTGTTTTTGTAAATGTTAGGTTTTGAAATTTTTGTGAAATACATGCATTCTTACAAATATCTACTCCAAGCTGAAACGATTTTCATGTCAAACAAAGTTCTCAAGTGGATCGCACATCGAATTCGGTTGTCAAGATTGACTAAGTTTAAAAGTAATTCATAGTTGAAAATTTAAATAGTGTCACCTATTTAAAGAAGTGAAATTGAAATAAGACGATGGTTCATTTAAATGAAAATAGAAGACATTTTTACATTATACAATAAAAAATGTACTATTTAATTCAAACAAGCTTTGCATCCTTAATTCTTTCTGTTGTAATTTCTTTGTTTGAGATGAATAAGAATATGTAAGGGCTCAGTTAGACGAGGGGAAGTTTTCTTGCGGCCACCGAGCGGTAAACCCGCGGTTTCAGCGTTTCCTGTTATGTTAATGGCTAATGTGGCTTCTATTTGCTAAGCAATAATATTGAAATTCTCTGCGTTGCTCTCTTTTATTCAGTACCCACTTTAAATTTTTCGCGTTATGACTACTTATTATCTCTGTCATGTGTGTCACAAGTTAATCAAAGAAGCTGCAATCAGGCAATTCAAAGGTATGTAAT